CTGCGGTCTGTTTTCTGCTTCACAATTACGCTAACCAAATTCTCTAATTTTATTTACATGCAGCCACCGATTAGCAGATGTTTCTGAACTGTGTGATTGATAACATGACAATGAATGTAAAATAGCTTATTATTAAATGCGCTTTACGTGATATACATGCCCGACCCAGACAATGTCTGCGATAGGGTGACGGAGCTGCTTTCTTTGTGTCTTCAAACGACTGGAAGACTAGATGAGAACGACGAAACATACGATATTTGTAGTTGTCGCATACTCTAGTTTGTCCTTTCTTCTGTCACTAGAAAAATTGTTCTACAATAACCAGTACGTTCCACACTAATGTTGGATTTAGCCAGATCATATTATTTTAAGAAATATGAAAACTAATTCTATTCGTTTGAACAACTAACAACGCGTGTCGGACGATTACGGATGAAACGGTGTGGCTCTATGCCAACTTGACTATCTTCGTTGCTTACCCACCAACATCAAGCTACGACGAAGACGAAGTCGAAGCGTTCTATATGGACCACAAAAAATTCTTCAGAGAAGATCTTACATTCTTCAAGAACATTGTCGGAGATTTCAATGCAAAAATTGGACCTAGAAGAACGTCTGAAGAACGTCACATTGCGATCCACGAGCTAGAATGGAATGAACAGGACAAGAGGCTATCTGAGTTTATCATGACGACCCAAACCATCCATGGTAGAGAGTACCATAACGGAGTAGACCACATAGTAAATCGAAGGTTCTGCTTAACCGATGTCGCTGTTGTTCCTAAGCTTTACACGTGTTCAGACCATCGCCTCCTTCGCGCAACGTTCCGTTTTTCGCGGAAAGGAAAGAAAGCCGTTGAATTCAAGCAACGAAGTTCCAAAATATCATAAATTGGGATGTATTCAAATCATTAGTCGGCTCCTGGGAAGATCCCTTGTCGACAGCATCGACAAGGATTACGATTGGCTCGTTGAATATCTTCATTTTAGCGCTATGAAAACCGAGAGTCCTAATGTCACGAAGAGACGGTTGTGTCCGCAGACACTCGAACTGATACGTCAACGTGGAATCGCGCGAGCTACAGGCAACCAAAACCTTACGTCCAAGCTTGCGAAACTCTGAACAGAAGCGATAAGATAAGACCTCAAAGAGAGACGGGCAGCAGTGGGCAGAAGCTGCAGAAGGTGGGAAGAGCATTCGCAATGCCCAGCGAGACATCGCCAATTATGAGGCGAAAGTGATTGCACTCCGATACCCTGACGGGACGCTTACAGCTTCCAGGAGGGCTATGGAGAAAACAATCCACCAGCACTACTCGGATCTCTCGATAGCCATGTTCTTTTGCCGTCTATAACTTGAAAGAGGATGCCCATCGTTCCACCGGTCGTCTCTTCCAAAATCCGGCATGCCATATCGTTGGTGAAGAACAGAAGAGCACCCGGCCCAGACAGGATTATACTGAAAAACCTGAAGAACCTGCTGCCAGTTCTCATCAACACCTTTGGCTCGGCTCTTCACTCTCTACCTGTCAAATGCAAGCTCACCATTCAGTGGAAAACCAGCAAGACTTAAATGTTGTTCAAAAAGAGAGGCCTTCACGACATAGGCAATGATTGCCCAATCTGCTTGCTGCCCGTTGTCTGTAAACTCTTTACTCGAGTCATCCTAAACAGGATTGAGAGAACACTGGACGAAGGACGGCTATGCGAACAAGCAGGGTTTCGAAAAGGATTTAGTACCATAGATCACATCCACACGATTACAAGACTCATTGAAGTCTCATAATAATACAAACAACCACTCTGCCTCACTTTCCTCAATCTGATGGAAGGTTTTGATTCAGTGGAAACAGAAGCGGTTATAGAGGCTTTGGATAACCAGATCGTCCCTACTCGGTACATAATAATCCTTCATGAGCTTTATAAAAATTTCACGACCAGAATATCTCCATTCTACATCTATATCGCCATTGACGTAAGAAGAGGGTTTCGACAAGGCGATAAATTTCCACCAAAACTATTCATAGCCACCCTACAAAACGTCATGCGAACATTATAATGGGACGATGTGGTAGTGAAAATAGACGGTCGACAATCAAACCATCTTCGATTTGCTGATGATATCGGCCTCATAACACCAAGCATTAGCCAAGCGGAACGAATGTTGACCGAGTTTGATAACGCCTGTGGAAAGATTGGTCTTCAACTAAATCTAACGAAAACAATGTTCATGAGGAACGGACGTGTTTTAAATGCCCCATTCACGCTCAACGGAACGACAGTCTCCCAATGCTTCAGTTACGTATGTCTGGGTCGTGAAATCAAAATGATGAACGACTTAGCTTCAGAGTTGAGGAGGAGGAAACGAGCGGCTTGCGGAACGTTTAAGAGTATCGAAGATGTAGTGAGAGGACAAAGAACATCTGACTCCGTGTCCACCTTTTTGACTCAACAAATATTCCTACCCTAACGTATGCAGCAGAAACGCGGTCGCTACTTAGGCAGAATGGAAGGTCACTTGGCGTTATTGAACGCGCAGTCGAAAGGTCGATGCTAGGAGTATCCCGTATCTCGCATATGAGAGAAAGGATCCGAAGTTCCGACCTACGTCAGCGATCGAAAATCAGAGGCGCCGTTGTACACTTTAGGATATCGAAAACAAGGTGAGCCGGACACATCAACGATAACCGATGGACGAGAGCCGTTACCAACTGAATTCTTCGGGACATCAAGCGCTCTGGAGGATGACCACCGACTCGTTGGTCTGATTTTCTCACAAAAAGTATGAAAGAAAGGTATGATGCTCAGCGATTCCTTAAAGCGAGGAGTACCCACTGGGTTACTTTTGCACGCGATAGAGAAAAGTGGAAGTGATGCAGGTACGCGCTTGAGTCACTCGACGATCAACGGGCAAAGGCGATACAAGTGATAAAAACTGATGCGTAGGTGTAGCACAAATTTGTGTTTTACCTACTTACTTTCTCTAACAGTTGATGCTCGGCCGTAGCGGTATTGTAACAGTATTGAAAAAGCGCAATTTTTATTATCAGACTTGTGGCAAAGATTTTGTAAGGCTTTGGCACAAGCATTAGATTGCCGTCGATATCCGCATATATTTTAAAAATTCAGTATTCTGCTTTGTTTAAATTAAATTTAGGTATCTTTACAAGCACCTCGAAATGACAAGAATACGTAACAATCTTACACAGTAAAATCATATGGCATGAATTCCAGTCCATATTAATAGTAATCAAGGGGTTATGGAAAGAGTTAACATTGACTGTCTTTTCACCACAACAAGAATCATTAGTCAGTATTTTCTCAGATTACTAATCTACGGAGAAGATTCTGTAAAAAGCTATGACGCCTAACGTTTCGACGTCTTCGTCTTTCACGTCCAATAATCCAACCGATAGTCACATTTAATGATCCTCGCGATACGAGCCTTCAAAGTTGCACCGACTCGAATCTTCTAGAGGAAAGTCCTTGAAAAATATAGAATTGCAAAGTGCAAATTGAGGCATATTCGGCTGCTAGAAAAAGGACCTAAATCAACAAAGCAGATCAAACTGGAAGTCAACAAATCAGCAGCTATCCCTGCGTAAGAAAAAAACGTCTTCCGAGCTGTAATCCGCTTCGAAAGATTTGACATGATGGGAATTCAAAGGCTTACAATGCTGATGACTAATGAACTGTTGTTGAGCCTCGCCATGGTCAGTATTGCTTTAAAGAAGAAAGCACGAAACCATCAGCCGAATGAAACTTCTTTGTAATAAACTCCCTCCCATATAAGTACAAAAAGATGGAGCTCTCCAAAATTACTAAAGTGTTGAGTTCTGTCCTATTGGAGTCTTGATGCAAAGGAAATATTAACCAAGTAATCAGATATGCTACGATACGTCTAGGCTCTGAAGAAGACGAGTGCGCCGAAAGGTAAGCCATCAAATTTTGAGGAAACAGAGATACCAACGTCGCACAAGTTTGACTAAGGAAAAGTATACTTCTTACCCGGTCATGTAGAGTGGTGTGTAAAAACATTAACGTCAGATTGGCTTCGAACTCACATTTCACCCTATCCGGGGCGCGTGCTGAACCGTTGCACTACCGACGCCCGTTTTGACACCACTCTTTATACGTTACAACTCGTCTATCTGTCAGCAGCCAGCGGTCAACGGTCTGGCGTTGGTAGCCGTTGTCGACATTGAACCCATTAATACTAACAAATATTGGGGTCTGATGATCAAACGAAATTCCTTTTATTTGATCGCCTTAGCGGTTTTATGAAGTTATGATTATATCCAGTGATGAAGAGTGATGTGGACATTCCTTAATAAGTAGATTCTCAGACACTTGCAGTGTCTTCGTCACGATGTGAAGCGTGCAACACATTCCTCATAGAAATGGAAGCACTCTTCGTGGTACCGCTATCAATTACCAAGTGACTCATCCTGTGAAGCTTCGCACTACTTTAGCGCAAAGAAGTTTCTAGAATCCGCATTCATAGATGAGGTAGGCAAGAAAGTGTATGATGAGAAATAAGTGGAGACTCCTAGACAACTCGTCCTCATTCGGCTTTGATATTGTTTGCCTATATTACAATGAACAACGTGCGCATGAAAAGCAATAACCAGTCAAAGGATAGTCATTACAATTTTTATTCGGCAGTACTGCATGAACATAAACAAAAGGTGTTTCGCGAGTGAGACAATGTTAGAAAGATCTTTTTTCGAACTCTAGCACTGTGAGAATTGAAGGGACAAATACTGTAAAAGATTAGGGGCAAAATCATGTCAAGTCTTCCTTGGCAAGATCATAGTTGTTCAATGTTCAGTTTTAGATTGTATTACGACATTTTTAGGGTCTTAGTGGGAAAAATGAAAAAATCGTATCTGATGGAGGTGAAGAATATTGTAGCTATCGGAATTTGTTTCTTTGACCGTTTCTTGCGGTGGTATGATCTTGTAATGTACCCAATAATGTGAAGTGCTGTGCAACAACATTTGCATCAGCCGAGATTCGACCCCAGATCTTACTCTTTCCGGGAGCGTATGCAACCGTTGCACCACCGACGCTTAGCATGCGCATGTGGAAAGAGTGAGATCTGGATTAGAATCCTGGCTGACGCAAATGTTTTTGCACAGCACTCCACATTATTTGGTATATTGTAGCTATGCTGGTCAAGTGATGGATTGTTATGTACAACAGTGGACGGAGCCGCATAGAGCACCATTTCCCAACGCACGTGAGACATGTGAGCACCTCAGAATGTCCCCGGCTTCTATCACAACTCAACCATAAGTTGTTTTCGACCAAGAATATAGTCTTGAATAAAAATTCTTGAATTCATTCTTATTTAGAAATCTAGAAATGGTGTTACAATACCAAAAATCAAACGGTAAAATTCAAATAAATCTGAAACAGCGGAAATGCATGATAGAAAGAAAAACTCAAGTGTACAGCTGTACATTCGACAATGTGAGTTGAGGATGATACGACCATCGAACGGCCGACGACAGAATGGAATTTGTTAGCAGAAATTGCCTTTCATCATGTGACCAAGAATGCCTTGTGATAATAGTGAACCTTGAGTGGAAGCTGATGAGGCGTATTTCCCATGCCGGGGCAGGAAGAGTGCTAGCAGGGAAATGGCTTCTGTGGTGTAATAGTGACAGAGCTATCGGTATAGATTAAACGCGAATTCAATTCTTGTTTAAGGCTCCGAATGTTGCATATCATTCAGAATTTGTGGACATATAATTGCATCGCCTTAGGAGTGTCATAAAATCAATTAAATGGAAACGATTTGGGATTCACACTTATCCAACACCTGTCTGCTTGTCCAAGTCTGATGCCGACAGACTAATCTCGTAGATGTTAGTTCCCGACAGTTTCGACACCTTATTCATTAAGAATGTTAGTAGAGCAATCATATTTGGTTGAATCCTACATTAACAGATTCGTGAGGACTTGTTTCATCAGATTCGTTCCATTTTGCGCGCACCAGCACTCCTCGCATTCGATTCACTTTTTAACGTTAATTTTTCTACAAAAGTCTTCAAACATTTCGCGTTTCGACTGCTGCTCGAGGATCGTCTTTCTCATAAATGTCATGGATTACTGATAGCGCAAATTTCTTTGGAATCTTGGAGGAATTCGATCTAAGGCGCTCGTATAATGATAGCCAGAAAATTTGAAAAGGTGAGGTATTAAAGTGGCGGTAGCTTCATTCAAGCATTTGGCCCAACGTAAATTGATAAAACTTCCAATAAAATGGAAGCTGTCATTTCTTCCACGATAAGTTATCTGGTTTGATTACCGTGGTGACTGATTTTCTTAAATCTATAGAACACTATCTTATACTTTGTTGTATCGAAGCTCATATATCGAGAGATAAAACAAATGCACTATTGAAATTTTGTCCAGCTGCAAAAGAACGAATCCGCAGTGTACAGTGATGTCTGCGATTTTCGGTTTTGTGTTGCAAATTTCAGAACCTATAGAATTTAATCCCCAGCCTTCTGCATAATTTGACTTGTGACATCTTAAGATTTGAAAAAGTACCATGTAATAAACAGAGAAGTAACTAAAGCAAAGGAGCACTTCCATCTAAAGAATTCCAACGGCCTGATCATCATAAAATGAATGCCATTTGCCCTCAAAAAACCCAATTTCATTACCATTCTGTCAAAGTTAGTTTTTATGCAGTAGTTGAAGAAATGGGAAAGTTCATTTTATCGACTTGCCTGAGGTACAGCAGCTCTGAAGCAGTATGATTTCCTGTGAGTTATAATGAAACGAGAAAAGGCAACGAGCAATGATTCCATTCTTGGTCCAAACAAACGTTGACTAAGTGTGCCTGGAAAGTATATGAGAAACTATGCGACGGAAGAACATCATCATTGCAAATATTAGGTCTCCAACTGAGTTTCCAAACTTGGTCCACAGATCCAGGAATTTATTTTTCCAATTAATCTAAAGTACCAAATAACGTTAATTGAAGTATTCTCCGTCTGCTTGGATGCAATTCTGCCAGCACTTTCAAAATCTTGCGAATCTGCTCATCTGAACGTTGGAAAT